GATATGCTTGAAAAGCTGGAATGTTTGTGTTCACACTAGTTCGCCGAACGCATCACAGTGCCCCCCTTAACTGGAAAAGACCCTTTCCGGTTTGCAGCGTCAAACATTGTCGCTGCGAGAGGGCCGTATCCTTTCCCTCCCTCAGGGAGACGCGATCCTATCCTATGGGTGGAGGAAACAGGACCAGCCATACTCTCCGTTTCTAGACTCCAGACAGCGCGATGCCTTGGTGGTCGACAGGGGAGAGTATCTGCAACATCGCGCGTTCAATGGCGGGTCCTATGACGCAACCCTGTCTCCCCCAAGCTCAAGATAACATTAGCGGCGAGGACGGGAACCCTTGGGAAAAGATAGGATAAGGTCTCAGCAGGGAAACCTGGAATTTACGCAGGGAAAAAAGTTTCGCGCTGCGAATAATTGTTCTATCGAACCACCCCCGTTAATCTTTCCTTGTGGCCACCTGAGCCCTGATTGAAAAGAAAACAACAGAAAAATTGAATCCTCTCCCGGCCGCAATCTATGTGTATGTGAGTGGCAATGGTCTCAGGGTGTTAATTTTGGTCGATCACAGGTATACTTGTAATGTCTTCTGAGGCTTGCTAGAAAAAAAAGCATTTATTTCCCACATTATTTGCCAAAATATTCTGTCGTCGTTTACAATAAATCATGTTGCCATGGTGACGGCGACAAACCCAAACAATGTTCATTTCGTTGAACCTAGAATGTGTTGAGTAATTGGACGTAGTAGCAGGCTCACATCTTCAATTTTTTCATCGGAGATTAGCGTTGCTTGGTTTGTTTGGTACAAATTGTGTCAAATTTACTTATAATTCCTAGCCAGGATGCTTGCAGTAAGTTCTCGTCGCTTTCTTCAACTCTCAAGTGTGGCAATGGCAGCATCCAATATCTATCAGTTCAAGGTGAAAGATGCCGATGAGAAGGAGGTGTCATTAGACAAATACAAGTGAGTTTTTTCTTTTCCAGTTTCAATGTATCCTTAAGCACTCACCCTGTTCTTTTAATAAAAATCTAAGAATTCGTACTAACTTAGAGACCTCTTTCTTAGAGGTATTTTGAATGCAATTTCACCTCTAATTGACTTGCAATGCCAGCTGATGAGCTGATGTTCAAGCCACTTTTTTCCTTCCCAGATAGGTGTGCTACCATTGAGTGACCCTGGAGTGATGTAGATCTTGCTTAGCCTGGACGGCCACAAGATTTATCTTGGATCTACGCGCGTGATAAGTTACCCAATTTATAGGTTTTATTAAATTCGTTTCCTTCTTACGTGTCCCCTCACTTTATTTGATATCCAAGTTATGCGATCTCATTGATAATGCGCGTTTTGCCAATCCGCTTTCCCTTGTGTCTTTATATCGTTAGAGGGGAGTTCACGATTAGAAGACAGCCCTTATGTTAGGATCAAGGTGGAGGTGGTCGGTGGTGCCGAGACGAAGAAAAACCATGAGAAACAATCCATAACCCGAGAAATGGAAACCCTTCTCCTTGCCCGTTGATTTCCGCATTGATGCGACTCTCGCGGAGCTGCCTCTTCAACGCTAACGCTTTCTCTGCTATACGGCTGGAGACTTGCGGTGAGTGGTTGGTTAGCCAGTCAGTCCGCGTACCGCTCCGATAGCGACGCGAGGAAGGACATACCAGATCGTCGGGGGCGTCTCCTTCGCTGCGAATTGCGGTCCACACCCCTAGAAAGCCCGCCTGTCCTTTTACAAGTTCCCCTTCTTCGACCTTATCCTTCAACCTCAACTCATGGCATCACACATATGAGAGGTGGTTGTAGATTGCTCATTTCTCCTCCACCTTTAATTATGCGGCGCAATGTGTACAGCATTTTGGGTTAACACGTTGACGACAACGCACGTTTTGGCTTTTTTGGGCGCGTGGGACCCGCGATTTTGCGAGCGCGGCCGCCTCAGGTAATTCAGGCGGGTTTTGGGTGGTAAATAAGGAAAAACGTGATTGATACAAGATAAGATCGGTCCTTACAGTGCATAGAAGCTACGCAGGGGTATAGTAGTAAATATTTGATAGAAAGAAGTAAAATGAAAAATGAAAAAGCAAAATTTGTGAGGCTCAGCTGCAATGGAAGTCAAAACGAACTTTACCTCGATTGTACCGATCAAGATGCATATCATGTCATCCCTTAGGTTCCGTATTTACTTCTACTACCCTTTGAATCTTTACCCTCATGAGGGGAAAAAGGAAACGAAAAATTAACTAAACTGATGATTTTGTAGGAATCAGAAACTCTCCTCTTAACTAAGGCACACGAGACCATTCTGTGGGTCAATATATTTAGTTAATTTATTTAGGTATGCTGAGGTTTCCCCTATAGAATACACTCAAAAGTACTTAACTTGAATCGCGCTTGCGCGGAAAAAAAATAATGTAATGGGTTCGGTCAGACTCGGCGATTGCGTCGCTGGACACCAGCGACGGAGCCGCCAGCGACGGAGCCGCCAGCGACGGAGCCGCCAGCGACGGAGCCGCCAGCGACGGAGCCGCCAGCGACGGAGCCGCCAGCGACGGAGCCGCCAGCGACGGAGCCGCCAGCGACGGAGCCGCCAGCGACGGAGCCGCCAGCGACGGAGCCGCCAGCCACAAGAGTGGGCAACGGGCGATGACTCATCACACGATCGATCGATCACACTACTAATTTGTATGAAATTTTGGAAATGTGGCACTTCGCTCGGCGACATAATAAACTTAGGACTGTACCGATGATTAAGCTTTAAGGTAAGAGTTTGAACTATATCAAAATACTTTTGTACGTATGAACTTCTAGAGTTTTTAACCACCATCCCTTTGAAATCCGAGTTAGCCTTCCAAACGTTCAATTCGTTTCCCAACAATGTGTACTATGAAAGCTCTCATCTGTAGTTACATTTTGTCTATTGGTAAAGTCAAAAATCAGAAAGAAAAACTGCGTTCAGGGGAAATTTGCATAATGTTGAGCAAGATTTGGTCGCGCCAAAAAGAGGCGCGGTCCCACGAGCACGCTACGTCCAAATCCGCATTGTCGTCAAAGGGTTAATCCCCCCTGCAAACATATGCGTCATGTGTGATTGACTTCATCGCTGTTGGCCAGCTTCTTCGTGGCTGCGGCTCCGCGTGGGCGGCTCCTGTCGCTGCGTCTCCGGCGCTGGCGCTCCCGTCGCTGCCCTGTCCAGCGACGCAATCGCAGTCTGACGAGGGTCTACATGGTGCAGGAAACATACGTCCCCGGCTGTCCGTCATGACCTTGCTAAGTGCGGACCGTATGTGCTCCTGCTTTTCGTCCTGTAAAGTAGAATGCAAAGAGTAGAATTGAATTCCTCTCATTTCACTATTTTTTCAGGGGCAAGGTGCTCATTGTTGTCAACGTTGCATCGCAGTGTGGTCTGACGAATGCCAACTACACACAGTTCAAAGAGCTTCTTGATAAGTACAAGGCACAGGGATTGGAAGTAGCTGCGTTCCCTTGCAATCAGTTCGGTGGACAGGTATGGTTACCGTATTGATGCGGTGTGTTCAGCTGATGGAAAATGTTCAGGAACCCGCTTGCGAGCTCGATATCAAAAATTTTGTATCCAACAAATTCAACTTTGAGCCAGATCTCTACGCCAAGGTAAACGTGAATGGCGACAACGCTGATCCTCTTTTCAAGTATCTGAAGAAAGAGCAGGTGAGCATCCACAGGTTTAATCCATTTCCAGAATGGTGTACTGACAGCTTCAAAAGTTCGGTTGCACGGTAAAAGCAGTAAACAAATTAGATTTTTCGGCAGCATCAACCCTTTAGCACTCTGGAAAGCGGGCTGGATTTTTTTCGAAATTTGTAAGTGGATATGGACTTGACCACAAATTTGCCCAAGCGGTAGTTTGAGCCGTAGAATACGAATATCACATCCGTTTAGCTAGAACGCCTGGCTTCCGCGCCACAGACGCGGGCGCTATACGTCCGAGACCATCAAGTATGCTGAGAACTTGCCCTTAGGAGTAGTTTAGTTAGCGAGATGCGAAAATTCATTCGTTTGGCGAGAAACTATCTGCAGCTCGCGCTAGAGATGCTAGCGTCTAAAGAATGCGAGAGCGCTGACGCCCGTGGTGTGCGCACCCGGCGAAGGTGTAGGTTATTAGTACTCTGCGGTCAAGTTACCCACATGGTTTACTTTTCGGAAGTTTGGGAAAGGTCCATCTTCGTTCTAGAAGAGCGAGGCTGAAGCGCTGTTTCCAAAGGTTTGCACAAGTAAAGGTTATATAGTGCCGATCTTTCTGGCCCAGGTTCGAAGGGGATATGATTTTGCAATTGTTCGTGCTACTGTCGAGGAAAGGAAATATGTCACAACTAAATCTGCTAGGGCTTTCAACCAGTTAACTAGACCAAGCAATTCAAGCAAGACAAAAGAAATCTAAAAATCCTTCTACTCTGTAAACCGCTAACTTGAGGTGTCGATTTGTATGCATGTCTGTATGTATGTATGTCCGTGTGTCCGTCCGCAAAATGAAGTGATAAGGAAGCTCATGGGATAAACAAACCGCTAACAAATCGGGTAGCTTACAGGATTTGAGATATCAATGTTTTGTAGCAGGATAGTTGTGATAACACTCTAGGGCTATATAAACACCTGCTTAGCACACTTCCGTTCATTCCACATGGTGCTGCAATGGCAGACTGGAGATCGAAGAAAAGAGAATGGGAATGGGAGGAGGAAGATCGCCCAAAAACCTAAGGGCTGTTGTGTTGAGATGTCATTCTAACGTCATGTCATAATGGTGATAATACCCTCGACTATATGTGACTGCTTTTTCGTGATACTTCCTCTCCAAGAGATCTTGGTGTCACAAGCGGAAGGGAGCAAGCAAGAAGCATAAACCTTACGTTATCAGGAAGGTGCCGAAGGTTGCCGGGGACCAATATGATTGCTAGTAAATAACATAGAATTGTAGCTCCTGGCTATCACAAGAATGCTGATTTGTGGTTCGACATGTTTTGTTTTGTTGACAGCTGTTCTTTAAGAAGGCCTAATGGGTTTACTGAACAGCTTTTTTTTCGTTTGCAGAAAATGCCCCTTTTGACAGGAATCCTTCTAAGATTGCATTGTTCAACTCATTTGCAGTTTTACAGAAGGATTTTGTCATGCGCTATGATGTTGAACTTTATTGTCTTACAGGGCGGCACGATGTTTGACGCAATCAAATGGAACTTCACAAAGTTCTTAGTGGACAGAGATGGGAATGTTGTGAAAAGGTACGATCAAATCAATTCTGTAGCCGCTTGCTTTGTGTGGAACCTATTTAGCCACTGGGTTATTTCCACTAAGAATGAAATATTGTTTCAGATTCGGCCCCACAACTGAGCCAAAAGATATGGTGAAGGACATCGAGAAACTCCTTGCAAGTGGCTCTACAAAACTCTAAACTCAAAAGCGACGTCCTACGAATCTACCTCTATCCGTTTAATAAGTCGTAAGGGTCATACCGCACGAACAGTATAATTCAGACAAAAATACTTGACCATTGCTAGTCTAGCCAATGCTTTCCTTCACAAATAGTGACGAGTGCGGTGTTTTTTTTTTCATTTTGGACATGTTTATATGTATTATATTCATTCGTACATGTAGTTGGTCATTTCTTAGTGGCGTTAGAATCTACAGCAGCGGATTTTGCTGCTGTCATTCTATCGAAAGCGTCTTAACAGAATAAATCCGATTTTCATCGCGTTGTTAATAACTTTTGAGAAATATCTTCATAAGTCATCAAAAATTGTGTAGAAATAGTATGCAACAATGTAGTGTGATGAAGAAGGTCCGCTGTAGATTGGGATTCCGAGATTGATTTGAGTTTGAAATTGAATTCCATCAAAGTTGTGATGTTGTTGCGAGATTAGAAAGTTCGCAAATTAAGTGATGATTCGTGCCTACTTTGCTCCAGACGGCTGATACTTACGAAACTTGCAGCTGCAGCTCTAGTGTTATGCGCGCATGGCGAAGTAGGCATGTTTGATTTTCTAGGGAAGGTCATGAGAGAAGAGCTAAGCACTGAATAGAGCGGCATTAAACTTCGCAAGAAAAGGTGGAAACGCGGGGCCGCACGCTATGCTCCGGTGGCGGGGATGGCATGAAATCCCCTTCAGACTTTTTACACAACATTCCTTTACTATTACCACATTTTGACTTGCACACTCACTGCACTCTAGAATAAAATCGGACGAAACCGATAACGCATCATATCTAGTACGCTGCCGTTGCAACCCCTTCCATGTCGATACCTAGGCGTAGTTGCTATTCGGAAGTGGGTTTCCAGTGAAACTTCAGCTATCGTCTCATTGGGCGGGACCCCTACCCAACCCACTATGTAACTTTCCTTATCGTCCCCATGGTATTTATCTGACCGCTTCCTTTAAAGTTTGATTGTGGGTCGATACTACAGAAAGCTTTTCGCAGCACGAATTTTTTTATTGTGGGAACTCAAATTTCACTTCTGATGAATTAGAAGTCCCTATTTGAGAGCTTCGTGAGCGGTTTGCTTTGCTTCTTTTTTCACTTTCAGTCAACACAGCATTCACAATTCCATTATCACCCACTATTACTTTACCAACCCTACCTGGATTTGATATAAAGGCGGATATCATGATAAAATGGAGAAAACAATAGATGTAATTAGCTGAAATATGCCACAAGGAGAGGTGGTTCGTTTCGCCTCGATCCTAGACGAACCACTTCCAGTCGTAAATTGGATGTGAATGAAGTGTAGGACTCGGAGGACCTCAAGGGAGCAGGTATCGCGGCGGAGGGCGCATCCATCGCAATGTAGCTACATAACTCTCACCGCGGCAGGCGCTCCTGACCAGGGTCAAGCGTGCGTTGAGGAATCCTCGACATGTCACAGAGGGGGGGGGTCGTATTGGCCCGCTGGGGAGAGATCGGGCCCGATTGATACAGTAGGATCATCGTCGGAGGACAAACATTAAGGATCGAATCGATACCAGGCCAGAGTATTTCCAATAACAATTGATTCCGTCCACACAAAATCTTCGTGATTTAGAGGTGTCCGCTTAGCAATTCTTAGTGACTTTAGTGTTTCATCACCACACAAGTCAAAGGATCCGAAATTCGCACGTTTTCTAGGGATATTTTATCTTTCAAGTAGGTCCTCAAATCCAACGAGATGTGAAGCACACGGCGCATCCCAGAGTGGGCCCAGTTGGTTGCGCGCGCTTCAGCTACGGCTATCTTGATAACGAATCTTAATTCAGGAAGAATCAAGAGGGTTCTGAAAGAGTTCATGTTAAATTACAGAGAGGAGTACACTATTCAACAAGAAACGCAGCCTTCAGCGTCAAATTCACAAGCATGTAACCTTTAAAGTTGAGACCCGCTAAACAATTTTACACTTTTTGCAGAGAGAAAAGCACGAGGATTTTGAATGCTCCTACTTCAGTATGTAATCGCTCCTGCAAGGAGCTATAGTCGTTGGGATAGTGCTAATGTAGCGAAAAAGTACCTTTCGGCGGTACTCGGGCAAAAATCCTCAACGTGGCCATTTTTTAAATAGTGAACGTATTTAGCAGTTTTAGTTGCCTCTAGAAAGAGCAAATCTTCTAGTTTATGATGACGTATTAACTTTCCAGATTGCATGAGTTTGAACGGAGTTATGGCTTTGGAAAGCGTAAAAACTCGCACTCATCACGAATTTTCCTCGTTAATTTTGCAAAAATCCTCAACGTGGCCATTTTTTGAGTACTGGACGTATGAAGCTGCTTTAGCGACCGTTTGATAGAGAAAATCTTCTAGTTTTGTATGACGTATCAACTTTTTGAATTTGACGGAAATGAAGCAAGTTATTGCTCCGGAAAGTGTAAAAACTCGTGCTCGTCTCGAATTTTCCTCGTTATTTGATCTAAATTTGTTATTTCTTATAACTTCCTGTAATTTCAGTACTGATTAGAAAAAGCTCTTCACAAAACTCCCAAATCAGCTTTCAGATTGAAAATTCGTTAACTTTGAAGAAAGTTATAATCATTTGAATATTTGTTCAAATTTCAATAGTAAATAAGCTGCTCCACGGTCAACGCCAAAGTCCAGTCAACACACAGCTGGCGAAGGCTTTTACAAGGCTTCCTTTGAGCGAAAGGGGACGTGTAAATTGAGAACCATTAAGGATCGAATCGATACCAGGCCAGAGTATTTCCAATAACAATTGATTCCGTCCACACAAAATCTTCGTGATTTAGAGGTGTCCGCTTAGCAATTCTTAGTGACTTTAGTGTTTCATCACCACACAAGTCAAAGGATCCGAAATTCGCACGTTTCTAGGTCCTCAAATCCAACGAGATGTGAAGCACACGGCGCATCCCAGAGTGGGCCCAGTTGGTTGCGCGCGCTTCAGCTACGGCTATCTTGATAACGAATCTTAATTCAGGAAGAATCAAGAGGGTTCTGAAAGAGTTCATGTTAAATTACAGAGAGGAGTACACTATTCAACAAGAAACGCGCAGCCTTCAGCGTCAAATTCACAAGCATGTAACCTTTAAAGTTGAGACCCGCTAAACAATTTTACACTTTTTGCAGAGAGAAAAGCACGAGGATTTTGAATCTGCTCCTACTTCAGTATGTAATCGCTCCTGCAAGGAGCTATAGTCGTTGGGATAGTGCTAATGTAGCGAAAAAGTACCTTTCGGCGGTACTCGGGCAAAAATCCTACGTGGCCATTTTTTAATTAGGGAACATATAGCTATCTAGTTGCTCTAGAAAGAGCAAATCTTCTAGTTTATGATGACGTATTAACTTCCAGATTGCATGAGTTTGAACGGAGTTATGGCTTTGGAAAGCGTAAAAACTCGCACTCATCACGAATTTTCCTCGTTAATTTTGCAAAAATCCTCAACGTGGCCATTTTTTGAGTACTGGACGTATGAAGCTGCTTTAGCGACCGTTTGATAGAGAAAATCTTCTAGTTTTGTATGACGTATCAACTTTTTGAATTTGACGGAAATGAAGCAAGTTATTGCTCCGGAAAGTGTAAAAACTCGTGCTCGTCTCGAATTTTCCTCGTTATTTGATCTAAATTTGTTATTTCTTATAACTTCCTGTAATTTCAGTACTGATTAGAAAAAGCTCTTCACAAAACTCCCAAATCAGCTTTCAGATTGAAAATTCGTTAACTTTGAAGAAAGTTATAATCATTTGAATATTTGTTCAAATTTCAATAGTAAATAAGCTGCTCCACGGTCAACGCCAAAGTCCAGTCAACACACAGCTGGCGAAGGCTTTTACAAGGCTTCCTTTGAGCGAAAGGGGGACGTGTAAATTGAGAACCATAATCTGTGTAGTACTAGAATTTGGTAAGTCTTGTGGAGGAAATAAATAAAGAAGAGATGTTGTCATAGTATGCCATTTTTAGTGACTAGTTTGTCGTTTTTTGCTCCGTTTCTCGTTTGCTCGTTTGTAGGACTCATCAATAATGATCATTCTTTGACTTTTTCACTTTTGTACTTCTTAAACGATTTTTTTTGTGGACGGTGGGGTAGCAGGGCTTTTTTATGAGCAGTTTTGGGGAGAATTAAACAACCTTTTCATAGTTCGGCTTTTGAAGAGGGTTGTTTCATGGACTTCGGCCTTCGGCAGAGGGAGGGGGGGGGGTCGTATTTCCGAATTTTCCTCGACGCCTCGCTTGACCCTGCTCCTGCCGTGGCGCGACCATCTCCAGTAGAGGGCCTAAAGAAAGTGGCCACGATGTTCCTAATGGGAAGGATAAGGAAAGCTACGTAGTGAATTGAGTAGGGGTCCTCCCCAATGAGAGGATACGGTGAAGCTACAGGGGGTGTGGGGGTGTGGTTCACTACGACAGAAAGAGAATTTCTGCGTTTCGTAGTGCGGAACATTTTTCGCTGCCTCGGGTCCACCTCTGATCATCAGTGGACCCGAGGTTCCTACAGCGAAACCCGGGGTGTGGTGCCCTATCAACGGCTTGATAAGGTGCCGAAACCCACATTCAGTTGGCAACCACAGGGTATCAGACGTGAAGGAATTGCAGTGGCAGCGTATTAGATATAAAACCGTTACCGCGATTGTTCTATTTTTATTCTCAGTGCACCTCATTCCAGCAGCCGTATCTTCTTATCTTATGGTGTCGTATTCTCCATGGGGTTACGCTAGTCCAACCATGATTTATCTTACCAGGGAAGGATGGTGGGTTGAAGTGGCCATGTGTAATGAGACGAACACTATTGGATGTGTTTTTGGACGCTGATCTCGAATCTGCTTTCCAAATCTGCCAAACGATTTTCCGAATGGAGTTATGAAGGAAAGTAGTGCAGCGGTAGTAGTCCGGGTTCACGTGCGAGACGTCGTAGGATCGATTCCCTGGCGGGTTCTCTTTTTTGCCTTCGCTGCAACATGGTTGGAAAAGGCTCCCAA